AACAACAAAACGCAAATGTAAGGCTAACACAATTACAAATACAAACGAAAACAAAAACCTAACAACAAACCCAACCACAACCACAAACACCAATACAAACACAAAGAAAAAAACAAACAAAAAAGCGAACGAAAACAAAAAACCTAACAACAAACCCAACCACAAACACCAATACCAACAAAAAAAAACAACGAAAAAACAAACCAAATCCAAACGCAAAACCAACCAAAAACACAAATACAAACCCAAAGAAAAAAACACAAACAAAAACGAAAAAAGAAAGAACAAAATCGAACAAAATCAAAACGCAACCACTAACGCAAACCCACCTAAACACAAAGAAAACACTAACGCGAACATAAACGCCCGGGCGGAATCACTAGTTTTAGCTTAATGAACGACTATAGTACCCCAACTTATTCACAGTCTTTTGCACTCACTTAAACGAACGCGCCTGTTTCAATTTTATGAACAATTTTAATACTCCAAGCTTATCCGTAAAATACCTACAACATTTGCACTTGATCAATCCCCGCTAATTATGTAATTATTTTTTTTTCCCAACACCAAAACAAAGTATTAAAAAGTAAATTATGTTCCACTAAATGCAATGGTTTTATAAAGGGAAGTAATTGTGTTTTCCTAATTTATCAAAGGGAAGTAAGTGCTATAGGACTAAATAAAGACATAATTAGAATTTTTGTAAAAGATATTTTTTTTAAACTTGCGTTGAATGAACATGCCGACAATTATTACTATAATTTGAAAAATGAAAATTATTTCCCGACACTTTCAATAGTAATTTTTTAACTCATAAATTAAGACAAATGCGCACGATAATATTCTAACACTTAAATCCATCCAAGACCAACGACAAACATATGCGTTACATACAGAACTGAGCTTTATATATTAGATATATGTATATATTTATATATATATTATATGTGTATATATATGTATATATTTATATTTATATATATGTATATATATATACATATATATATACATACATATATATATACATACATATATTATATTTATGTGTATATATTGTATGTGTATATATATATGTATACACATATATAATATAATATATATATATGTGTATATATATACATATATATATATATAATGTGTGTGTTAACGTATGTTATCAACTCGAATCTTGGATTTGGCAGATTGCGCTATCTTCTCTCACACAGTCAACAACAAATGCAGAACTAATTGTACTGATTGAAGAAACAATAATAACCAGTTTAATGATAGTGGCACAGCCCACGACGTTCTGATTATAATTATCAGCAATAAAACGCTTTTTAACATTCTAAAACAATGTGGATCGGATAGCTTTTCAAGAATCCGTGATTTTTATTTCTCTTTAATACAGTGATCCAGGCAAGGTGTAGTGTAATGCAATCAAGTAAAAGTATCTGATCTCTCTCGTTAAACTAGTCGCGTCATTTCTTAACAAAACTGGCTAGTGAAATTGTACATTACGCGTTAATACAATTGGTTTATTTTCTAAGTGTTAAAAGAGTTATCTACTGGCCAATACAGTACAAATACTTGCAATTTTTGTTCGCGAAAACGCACACACCTCCCAATCATCTTGTACAAAGTTTGTAGAGCGGGTTTTAACGGAACTACCTTTATAAAAATGTTACACAATCGTACGATGCACTTTAGTACAAATAGTTTCTTTTCTAAGTGCTAAAGGTTGTTTACTCAAAATCTAGTGTAATTTTGCGATTTTATTTAGCCTAAAAGCCCCCCCCCCCCCCCTTGTACCATCTTGATAAAAGTCGCTGACGTATTTTATGGTTAAACAATCGTACAAAACGTTGAATACAATTGTTTCTTTTATAAGTGGTAACGTTCATCGACTTACCAATCTAGTGTAAATTCTTCAGATTTTAGTCTCAGTGCTGGTGGTTCTTGAAACCAAAATAAATTATGATATGAGTTAGGTGATAACGATGAGGCCAACAACTGCTCTGGAAAAAGTGTTGTCTGAACAAATGGATGACGATGAATTTACAGAGATAATTGAAGATGAAATCGACTATGACTTTAGATAGCTCTCCAGTCTTGTTTGAGCGAGGCAAATGTCGCGACCATCTGTGTTGGGGATTTTCATTACTTAAGGTGCAAGGACAAAAAGTCTTCTATACTGCAATAGATGGACGAAGAAGGTGACTTTGAGGTTGAATACCTTAAAAGAAGTGAAAAGGTGTAAAACAAATTCATAAACTTCGAAACTGACCAAGTATGGTCTGTGAATTAAAAAAAAAGTCATCATTACTACTGTGCATACAAAGTCTGACAGTTCTGGGACAAAACGCACCAAGTGTGTCCATCGAAGACATCGTGAAATATGCAGCCTAAATATTCTTTAACTGTTAATTGAAAGACAGGCCTAACTTTTTCTTTCAATTTTAGTATAGTCCCTGTATTAATATCTTTGGCCACTGTCTGAGGCTCTTCCCGTGTCCACAATAAAATATGTATAAAATTAACCTTTTACTGTTTCAATTCAATCTTGTGTAAATTATTTTCAATGGCAATAAAAAAAAGTTCTTTGCGATCACATAGATTCAACCATATAATATTTGAAAATGTGTGACTTTTTCACCCCAGGTATGTGACTTTGACCCCGCACTGGGGTAAAATGTCACAATACTAAATCACCATTTTGCTAGTCTATCATGGGCATACCGTGAACAGCTATTCCGGATGGCTGTGCACACAGTTAGTCCGAAGTGTGGAACTAGTATCTGGTACGTTGGCATTGTTAAAGGTTCACAATTCTTGTCTCTAAATCCTAAAAAGAGGAAATTTGTGACTTTTCACCCCCCCCCCCCTCCTCCCCTAATAAATTTATTCTTTAAAATGTTCTATTTATTTTTCTCAGCATGTTCTAGGTTAGGTTCTACTTCTGATATTTAGGCTTACTAATGAACATTTCCGAAAATATAATCAGTTAATATGTACACAATATGTTAAATAGTAAAGTGGAAGTAAGTTTTGGTCGACTAAAACAAGTGTGGAGGGGGGGGGGGTAAAATTGCTGTGGACGCAGAGGCGTAGCGACCCCTCCCCGACGCCCGGGGACAAACTTTCAATATATTTTTTTATATTTATCATTCAAAATAGTAGCTAAAATGAGCTTATTTTTGGCGCCCCTAGGGTCGGCCCCCCGGGGACATATGTATCCTCCCGTCGCTACGCCTCTGAGTGGACGTCCTAAATGTATGATCCCTTGAGTCATACCAAACCACTGTTATTATTCTTTTACATATTTCTTCAATTGATTACAGCATACAACTCCGCTGCCATTTTTAATTACTGATAAGTACCTAGTTTATCATGTCCATCCACCTCGTCTGAAAGGAATGATAAAAGCAAGTAGTATTGCCTTAATTTATATCGTTTGGTAAGTATCACTTGTAAAATAGGAATGTGTAATTTTTTCTCAAAACTCTATATATATTTAGTTATCACCATACACGGTTTTCTCTCACTATAAGTATATCTGATTTGTAAGTATTTTTACTGGACATCTGGGCATTCTAGCATATCGACTTTTGACAAGAGATTTCCCAGCATTTCTGGAAGTGACTGCCTAAAGTAATATAAATACTGGCAATTCCCAGCATATCGGACATTGACCACACGACAGGCGATACGAATTGGCCAATCGATTCGGGAACTAGCTTAAAAATTCGTAATAAGTTGTAATTAAGAAGAGAAAAAACATTTAATTGACCGAGTTTTATCTGCATTGACCAGTTTTAGCATGACAATTCCATTCCAAAGCAAAGTTCTGCCCGATACTTTGGTGAAAGGTCAAATACAGTGGTACTTCGACATGCGAGTGCCCCGAAAAATGAGATGTTTGAGATTCGAGGGGTCTAATGAGCTCAAATATGTTTGAATATACGAGCAAAATTTGAGATACAAGTAACCGGATACGCGGGTTAGTTAGTGGAAAAGAAATACCCCCGAAAAGTTTTAACTGTGTGCATCTGAGCCATTTAACTCATGTATGAAACATTCTGAAAAGGAGGAAAACCTCCTTGAAAGATTTATATTATCGACTCGCATTGAAAAGTGAGGAAAGAATGGCGAAAATGCAGAGACCAGCGAAGAGAAAGTAACGGAACGTAATAGAGAAAAATTCAATATTATTTTCGGTCGTTAAGTCCCGTTACGTTTAGGGATAAAGTGTAATGTTTAGAGTGTAACGATTAAGTAACGGAAAAAGCTTATCGTACGTGTTTTATATACCAGATGTTAACACACATTGTGGTGAAGCAATTACAGTTGCTCTGATTGTAGATGGAGCGTTTCCCAATCTGCACGAAGAACTGCTCACAATGACAAACATTGTTAATGTAACGTTTTTTTCGCTTTTTCCCACTTTGGCTGATTTTGGGCTTTTGCCTTTTTAATTTTTTAATTTATCTTCCTTCCTTTATCTGTCGTTCATTTAACAGGCTTATTTAACTTGCTTCCTCTGTCGTCTGTCTGTCGTCATAGATTGAAACTGCCGAGTGAGATTTCGAGCACTTCTAACTGTCCGATTCGTTTCAGCCTTGTCACGTGGGTCAAGATTCGGTGACAATGCAATATGACATCAAATGTGATCTTAACTGGATGTCTAATTAATTTTTAAATTAATTAATTAAATTGTACCATATAAAGTAGTATAAGACATACTATTTACCGATCTAATACACGCGCATTTTTATGTTCATTTGGTGAGCACATCGTTATTGGTCATAAAACTATTGCATTAAAAAATTTAAAGTAGGGGGGGAAAAAAGCATAAATAACTTTTTAATACCAAAATTGTATGTAATAATGCTTTCAAAAGGAGAAAATAAATTATTGTCTTTAAATATATAATAATACACTACTATTTAAATAACTATTTTAAAAAAGCGTCAGTCTCTCTCTCTCTCTCTCTCTCTCTCTCCCCTCCCTCTCCATTGTAGCAAGATAATTTAATTAACGTTTCTGCGAGGTTCTTATTTTTGCCAGCTTTTTAATGTCTGATTGACTGTATTTTATCATTACAGGATTCTTTTCATTGCATTTTATGATAACATCTGGGTTTATCCTATATTGAAGACTTTATCAGTCCATGGACGTGCAGTGTTTTTAATCTTTTGTATGGTGATTTTTGGATTACTATATATTTTAGGAGAAAAAACATCTTCTGCCTTTTGGAGTGAGTATAAAAATAAATGAAATAGTGGTGTTTTTTTTTTTTTTTACTTTGCTTTAACCTAAAATTAAAAATACATTAAACAGCGAAACTATTCCCTCTCTCTTCCACCCCCTCCTCCATCCCCAACCTTGTCGACTACAAATTTACCTACACACTAACATTGAACATAACCCCAGTCTAAAGGCAATGTTATGGTTAGAAGATATTCTGGAATGAATTATCAAATTCAGCAATTTGCTGGTTAGCATTTTTTTAGATTGCTTAATGCATAATACGGTTTATTTCGAATAGACAGGGCTAATGTGTGTATATATATATGTATGTATATATATGTATGTATATATATATGTATGTATATATATATGTATGTATATATATATATGATGTATATATATATATGATGTATATATATATGTATGTATATATATATGTATGTATATATATATATGTATGTATATATATATATATTTATGTATATATATATATGTATGTATATATATATATGTATGTATATATATATGTATGTATATATATATATGATGTATATATATATATGATGTATATATATATATGATGTATATATATATGTATGTATATATATATGTATGTATATATATATGTATGTATATATATATGTATGTATATATATATATATTTATGTATATATATATATGTATGTATATATATATGTTTGTATATATATATATATGTATGTATATATATATTTATGTATATATATATGTATGTATATATATATGTATGTATATATATATATGTATGTATATATATATATATATATATATGTATATATATATATATATGTATATATATATATATATATGTATATATAAATATATATATATATATATATATATATATATATATATATATATATATATATATATATAATGTATATGTATATATATATATATATATGTCTGTATATATATATATGTATATATTATATATATATATATATATATATATATATATATATATATATATATATATACATATATATAAATATATATATATATATATACATATATATATATATAAATACATATACATACATATGTATATATATGTGTGTGTGTGTGTGTTTCTTATCTTCCTATTATTTTTTTATTCAGAACAAGAACCTGCAACAACAAATCTTCAAAAACCTGAAGTAATAAGTACACATAAAAAGTATCTTTAAAATAACTTGTTTTCTTCTGATACAATTAACTCAAATGATTTTTTCAACTTTTTTTTTCATTATTTGATACCAGCAAATGACGGGTTTTTGTTTTTAATTGTAATGACATTTGTGTAGTTCTGCACTTTTAATTAAAAAATTTTATTTTTTGCCTTTCGATGGTTGTTTTGCATCTTAATTTGAAAATGTTTGTATCTTTTTTATAAGTTTTTCTTTTGATTCCTCTGTTTTTTTTTTTTTGACTGTCGTAATATGTCGAAACAGGCTAGCAAAAACTTCTACTGGGCTAACTCCTTTCAAACTTGGTACACAGGTCAAGACCAGATGACAATTCAGTGCGACATAAAATTTGACATTTTCTTATGTTTAATTAATTTTATTTTTCCATTTTTAATAATTCCTACATAAAGTACTAATTTTCCGCGCTTTATATGCACATCGTTTGCGTTCATTTTCTGTGAAACTATTTTTCGCTATGTGATTCTGCGCTACACTGCCCAAGCTTATAGTATTTTTTCTTCTCTAACATAAACCCAAGTTTATCTGGAAGCGGAACTTTACCCGTTGCCGGAATTATAAACGGAAACACAATTTTAACGGAAACGAAAATTTAAACCGAATCAGTACACATAACTTAACCCTTTATTTACGGAATTAAGTTCTGAATGAAATTTTTTCTTAATCAATGTGTTATCATATTGCTTTTGGCACATTTAAAGCATATGTCGAAGGAAATTTCGTTTCATAAATTTTTAATGGCCCAAACATATATTGGTACTTATAAGTACCGTCAGGAATGTAGGGCATTTTTTCCAAAAAAATTTTTTTTTACAAAACAGGAACATACGATACCATTTAGTAACTAATAACATGGCAATGATTATAAAAATCATTTTTGTAATTTTCACACATAAATACAGTACAAAAGTGTATTTTGAGTACGATTTTTACTGAATTTTCTATCGGAACACATTTTAGACCTCAAACACAGCAAAAGTTGCCGACATGTCATGCTCCCTCATTCTTAATTGTGGTCTTTCTGGTGTAGCAACGGTTGCCGGACTGAACATGCTTTTTCTGGAAGCTTCCAATAGCTATTATAATGAGCCGCATGAACAAACAAAAGCCTAGTCATTCAGCACACAACTAGTGCCTACTAGTAATACTAGTCATAACATTCTAGTAGGCTACAATTATACAAGTCTACACTACAGTGTAAAGTTCATAAATAGAAGTGAGCTCAATGTGTTTAGGATAGTCGTAGTGGCCTACTGTTTTCTGTTTGCTGATTAAAATGTACCATATAGATCTATACTATATGCAGAAATATGGGGTATTACTAGTCTACATGTATACAGTACGTAAATGCTAGTTATTGTAGGCAAGACAGTTTATTGCAGTAAATATAACTAACAAATTAAATATTACTACTAGAACTAGGCTTTGGTATACAAATGAAGTATACTAAACCTAGTAAATGAGCCTGCAACTGCTACCTTTATTATTGTTATTCTTTTACTACTAGAAATCAACATGTAATTACAATATTTCTATGGTAAAACATATGCTAACATTCTTATAAATGTGTAAATATCATTTTTTGAGTACATTTCGATAATTAATTATCAAAATAATATTTAAGTCACTTCACATCGAAAATTCGCCATTTTCTAGAAATCCTAAAAAATGACCGTGTGCCCTGACGGTACTTATAAGTCCACTTGTAAACATCGATCTATTACATAGACAATTTGATAAAAATTGTAAAACTAGAAGTTAGACGCGTTTTCTGACTATTGAAGGTGCCAATAAAAAATATTTGGGGTTGAAAACTTGAAAAATAAGGTAAAACAAAGGGAAATCAGGAACGTGTGTGAGAACTGTACAGAACAATTGTGAACTACCGATACAGCAAGACATTGAAAATGGCGCCACACCAGAAATTTTCAAAAACCATCGATACCTCCAACTACCGGCGACTCAGGGGAGATAATACTATTAATTACCTCAAGAAATTTTAAAATTCGTATTAAATTAAAAATAATACAGGCACCTAATTAAAGTGGTACTTATAAGTACCGTCAGTAGATAAAGGGTTAAACCGAAAGTCAACCGAAACCGGAATTTTTAACTGAAAAGGAAATTTTCCGAGAACTACAGTTTACCTGAACCTCTACTGAAAATTTAACTTTGACTTTTCCAACTTTGTAACGGAAATCCGGGTTGTTGTTTTTTTTTTTTTTTTTTTTTTTGCCGTTTCAGCAGCTAGTTTACCTCCGCCAATGTAATTCTAAATTTTACCGCCCTTTTAGTTTTCAAACTTACCTGAGTCGGGAAAACTTAGTTTTGCAAATTTGTACTTATGTCTGTGTGTGTATATGTATGTGTGTATGTCTGTGAACACGATAACTTGATTACCGTTACAGCTAGGTTGATGATATTTCATACATAAGTATTATATCCAAAAAAATTTGTTCTGTGTCAACTTTTCTGCGATTTCCGGTACCCAAAGTACTATATCAAACTGAAATACGGACAAAATTGTAAAACTGTTTTCCGACTCATGGAGGTGAAAAACGTCGAGATTTTTTAAAATCTCGACTTCGAATTTTTGCACGATTTCAATACTTCCTCTATACTTCGTATACGAGAAAGTTAAAATATTGGAAAATCGTTTAAGAACATCGGAACCAGGAACGGAACTACAGGGGGGGGGGGGCACGCCATTTAGGGCCCACATCCGACCATAATTTAAAAAAATGTATAGTTAAAAAAATATTAATTTTCTTGCATTTTTTACTTAATGGTTGTTTTGTAAAAAGATTACCGTAGCTGCGGTTGGGTTATCTTTAGTCTTTAGACACCACCCCACGCTCTTGTATATTCTTTTTACCTTTTTACTTTCTCGTATATACGAAGTATAGAGAAAGTATTGTAATCGTGCACAAAAATCAATTGAAATTTTAACAATTTTCACCGTATTACACCGCAGTCCTTCATCACATCCGAAGTATAGAGGACTTATTTTAATCGGGCAAAAATTATCAATCCAGATTTATCAAAATTAAGAGGTTTTATACGTAATCCAGTCTGAAAAACTGGGCTTTGCAATTCTGTCCGTATGTCTGTCTGTCTGTCTGTCTGTCCGTGTGTAAACATGATAACTTGAGTACCGTTACAGCTAGGTTGATGAAATTTCATATATAAGTATTTTATCAAAATCGTAGATCCGTATCAACTTTTGAGCGATTTCCGATAACCGGAAGTGGTACTTTTTCTACTTTGAATTTTCAAAAGCCTATAACTTGAGTACTATTTCAGATAGATAAATGAAATTTCACATGTAAGTATAAGATCTAATTCTCTACCTTCTGTCACATTTTGAGTAATTTCCGTTGCCCGGAAATACTAATTTACGCTACTTCCGATTTCTCAAAAAACTAATGTAAATTTTTAAAGTACTAATAATATTGCGCACTATTATGCACTTTTTTATTTCGCGTTCGCTTGGTGTGCAATCTTTTTTCTACGAGATTTTATTCTATTTTTAAAACTTTAAGTAT